AGCAGGAATAAGGCTATACCTCAAAACAATAAAAAAAGACTGATTTGACACATAGTACCTACAGAGCACAAAGATAGACCCCTGGTCTGAGCGTGCTTTGGAGTCACTTGAGAAAAATCAGACGATCTGCTATATAACTTTTCCACAGTGGTTCAGAAATAGTTAACTAGTAATTCTAGAAGCAAGAGAACTTGCATGCTTTCTTATGAATTGGTGATCTGAAAATAATACCCCACGTACATTCTTTACGTCCAACATAGATGAGTTCATGTTGCTGCTTCTTCAGATAGGACCCTCCTCCATTGGTTGTTCCCCTGCACCCTATATTTTCATGAAACTCTCAAGACATTGTTTTATAAGCCTCTACAAGTAATTAAGTAACAAGAAACCTAAAAAGGGTGGCCAAACAACAAGGGAATCCTTGAAAAAGTTTTCCAAGGAGGACAGTTAAAATTATCCAAGAAAGCACTAGTTAGGTAACCATTCTTCAAACTAGAGCATCCTCAGAAAGGCTCACATACATCTTCCAATTAATATGAGATCTGACAGTTCTTATTAATGGAACAACCACTACCTGATGCAGACCTGAGATAGGAACCCACAACCCATTTCAAACAGCACTTGTCCTCACACTGTTTAACAACTGATCTCAGTCAAAAGAAGCTACGTTCAAGGGAGTTAATCTAAGGGTCCAGGCTTGTCAGCCTCTAGTAGAAAAATCCTGAAAGCTGAGACATTACTATTTCATGGGAACAAATTCTGAGTCATTAAAACACAGTTTTTCCACAATGATAACTTCATACCTGTTGACGACTACTGAGATCCAGTTGCTTCCAAAATTGAAAATCTAAACAGAGGTCGCGCCAATATTTACAGACTAATGACGCTGAAAGGCAACGCTCATTCAGGGATAAATTGGAAAATATCTGTAAAGAAATGGAAAAAAATATTATTTGTCAGAAGTAATCATATTTTAGAGACATAAATATTTAATTACTAACCCGTCTTGTAAAAGACAGAAAAGTATTAGCATGCATTGCAACACAGTTCTAGAATTTGCCGCCAGCTTGATTAGTCAAGAACAGTAACAAAAAAAACCTGCATCCCACAACAGCTGACAATATTAATAAGTCATATTAGCACAACCAACAACAGACTGTGTGCTACTTAAGCACCCATTTCTTAGACCATATTTCAAATGTGCTTCTCAGATGGCACAGACAGGTATAACGGACAGAAAAGGATGGTCAAAGAAAGCGTACCCCCGCTGATGAGCGAGACTGGCAAGCTGGTAACAGCAGATGGTGAGAAGGCTGAGGTACTCAACAACTTTTTTGCCTCAGACTTCACTGGCAACCTCTCTCCTCACCCCTCCCGAGTTGATGGATGGCATGAGGGGGACTGGGAGGGCAAAACCCCTCCTGCTGTAGGAGAGGATTGGGTTCGTGACCACCTGAGGAACCTGAATGCACAGAATTCCATGGGACCTGATGAGATGCATCCCAGAGTCCTGAGGGAATTGGCCAA